TCCCTCCACCACGACCACATTCTTCATTTTTTTCTTGCATTTTACTTAGTGCATCAACATGTAATGCACCTCCCTGCCCCCAAATGCTTTTTTTCCACTTTTTTCCACTTCCTTAAAAACGTGAGCCGAAACAGGTTTACCAAATCTCTTTCACCATGCCTCATTCTAGCTAAAATGGCCCTTATTCCTGTCAAAAACCTCCCGCTCGCCTCACCGTCACCCTTGCAGGAATAGGGTAACCTTCTCACTTATGGCTTCCACTCTACGTCTCTAAGCTTACTAGTCCGCACAATCTCGCACAATCGTATCAATAACAATGTCATCAACAAAATAAACCAACACCACTGTCATCGCTTAACGCGATCATGGATCGGCTTAAGAGATCTTTACTGTCTCATGCAGATCGCTTACGCGATTTTAAAATCGCTTAAGCGACCAAAAGTGTAACTGAGAATCTCTTATCTTGATTCCTGCCAACCTAAATCGCTTAAGCCACCAAGAGTAACACTCCATGAGCTCTTAAGCGATCATCTGCTGCGATCACGAGTAAAACAGAATAATCGCTTAAGCGATAACAAATCTCCTTAAGCGAAACTTACAAGCACATCCCAACTACCGTACCCTATCTTTCGCCGAGCCTTCTCTCCTCCGTCGCCTGATCCTCCGCGCACTCCTCCTGCCCTGATTAATCGCCGTGAATTCCACCTCCTGCCTGCATTCTCGTCGGATCCTCCTTCTGGTCCTGAATTCTCGGCCTGACTCTCGTCTTCAGAACCCCTTTGCTGGTTCTTCCCTCTGGTTCTTGGTGCCGCAGCGTCTCCTCTACTTGTGGACCACCTTTCAATGGTCAGATGATCTCGTGAGCCTGCCATTGAACTGCTTGCGCCACCGGATCTAGGATTCAAGAAGTGGCGTTGGGTTGTCGTCGTCATTGTGATTGTCAGCCCGGTTTTTGGATGAAATTTGGTTTGAAAATTTTGTAGTTTGCGATTGGAATATATTAATCAAATAAATAAAATATCTACTACGGCTGTATCGCCGATAAATCCCGCGCAAGATTTTTTCCGTTTATAGTTGAAGAAAATCGATACTTAAGCGTACTGACGGAGATTAGGCTAGGTAATCGATACGCAGAATCGCGGCGACGTAAATCCGCGCGCGAGACTTCGCAGGGCGCCGCGCTAGTTCGGTTTAGAGGTTCAAGTGTTAGCTGGGATCGCGAAGATCCGAGACGCTCTGTGCTTGATCCGGCAAAAAAATCGCGCTGTATTCGTTTTGGGCAAAATTGTGCATCAATATGGTGTGGTCGTCATCAGAGTCATTTCGCTTTTTGTTATACGTTGTAAAACTGATGAATTGCCGATTACGCGACTGTGAATAGGAGTGTGGGCTTGTTTTGCGAAATTTTCCAAACTTTGAAAACTTTCATTATTTCTTGATTCGCCCACATATGTTTAATATCTTTTTTTCATTTTAAAACCTATGTTTATGTGTTTTTAATATCCTAACTATACCACGTCCATCTTCTCTAAATAAAAATAATTGATGGAAAGTTTTCAAGTCCATTTTCTTAAAAATGCATACTTGTGGGACCCGGCAGCTAATTTTCTCATTCTTTTTTAATGGCTATACTGAATTAACATTCTGAGAGTGAAATTCTGTTTGCCGTATAGCTCTATATTTTCATATAGATTCATGATTTAGAAAAAGCTTTGACATATGAAATCAACGATTCAGAAATTGACACTATATTGTTCTCTCTCTCCGCATTGCCCTGTATATTTTTTGCTTTGTTTCAAGCTATAAATTTTCATTTTTTTCTGATAGTCTATATTTTTTTGCTATTTTGATTCCCATAATCCCCACATCCCGCCAATCCCCCGCCCCCTACCGCCTACCCCCCCAATGCCTAGTCCCCGAAACCCCCCACCCCGTCCCGGGGGACTCCTCTCGCCACCCCCCTCGTCCCCCGGCGGTTGGGGCGGGGGGCCGGGCCGGGGGGGGGGGGGGCGGGTGGGGGGGGCGGGGGGGCGGGCGGGGGGGGGGGGGGGGGGGGGGCGGGGGTCGGGGGGGGGGGGGGGAGGGGGCGGGCGGTGGCGGGGGACCCTTCCCCAACCCCCACACAACATCACAAATATCCACACACAACAACACACTCACCACAACAAATCACAACAAATCACAACCAAACCTATCACACCCCTTTCTTTTTTTGTTTTTTTTTTTCATGAAAAGATTAGTGCGCCCTTTAAAAAAACCAAAAAAAAAAAAACAAAAAAAAAAATTTTTTTTTTTTTTTTTCCTTCCTGCTTTCCTCCAGTGATTGTATTCTTCTGTTCTGGCTCAATATTCTAAAAACTTACTCAGTTTTTTGAAGCTTTGAAGCTCCTCTTTCCTTCGCTCTCCCTCCCTCTCCCGCCCCCTCTTTCCGCTCTTCTCCCTCCGTCCTTCTCCGCTCCTCTTCTCCCTCCTCACTCATCCTTCTCTCTCCATCTCTCTCTCTCTCTTCGCGCGTATTCATCCCTATCCAGCTGTACTTGGCGAAACTCCAGGCAAGTGTTGTTTTTGTGGCTTTTAAAATAATAAATTGTTCCTTACTCCTGTTGCCACCCCGCTGCTTGGTGAATTTAATTACTTGTTTTAGAGAAACTGAAAATTGCTAATTTCCGTATAATGCCCCCCCCCCCCCTCTGTAAAATGTTTTTGCTAAATTTCTTCCCTTAATCCGTCCCTTTTAAAATTGATGCCGACAACTATGACAAGAGGATTTTTTAACCGTATATCAATAATGTATCCTTTAAATATGTCTAACTGTGAAGGTTATGCTGGGAATGGATATCTACTACCTCCTATAATGATAGTTTATGTTTGCTTTGTTTCACATGTTTATCGTTAAAAAGAAAACAAATCAACAAAAAAATAAATATTAATAGTCAAAAAAAAAAAAGAAATCTGATGTATAGTTATCATTCTCAAAAATATACAATTTAAATCTTTGCTTTTGGTTGTGGAACAGTGGGAGCAACTAAAATTGACCTCAAATAAATTAATGCTCAAGGAGGAAAGCTTTGTAGGTTTCTTTCTTGATTAAGCTACACAGACACCCCAACAATAATAATACCTAACAGGAAAAGTCCCCAACAAAAAGTTTTTGGAAGACTTATAGCAGAAAGTTAGCTAACCCATATTGAAGAGTACTCTCAACACCTTTTTACTGTTGGATGGCTTTCAAAGTTCACATCAACATGATTTGGTCATCATCGTCCTCCTTCCATGATTGCTCAAGGCAAATATGATGTTTTTCTTAGTTTTAGAGAAGAGGGAATACCTGGGGCTGATAACTACGGACGGGGGGGGGGGGGTCAATTATTACTAGAGAGAGGAAGCCAATCTTGTTTGTGCCCCGCTTTGTGGTCAAAAACAAATTCAAACCTTCATGGATGATGACTGGACTCTGAGAGAGGAGAAATGAATATAGATGTCGCCTGCCCTTTTTTGAAGCAAATTGAAGAATCAAAGAGGTGGGTCATATTGATTTAAAATTTTCCTCTAAAGATGTGATGGGCTTGTGTGTCGCGGTGGTCTAAAGTGGTGCTTTGGGGGGTAGAACTGTGCTCACTCGTGAATGGGCGGTGGTGGTGAATGATGGCTGAGCTGCAGGGGGCGGGGGAGACTTGCGGGGGGGGGTGGAGAGAAAGTCGTGGGGAGGGGTGGCCAATGGGTTGGTAGCCAGGTTGTTCGCTAATGGAGTGTGGTGAGGGGGGAGGCTGTGCTCGTGAGTCGGGGGGCGGGGTGGGGGGGGGTGGTGTCGTGTATGGGGGGTGGGGGGGCAGAGGGGCTAGACTGGAAGCTTCAAAAGATGCTTTTGTTAAGCATGAAGAATTTTTAAGGGGAAATAGAAAAGGTACAAGATTTAGGACGCTTTGACCGAGGCTCCATCCAATCTATCCGATGGGATCTCATGGTAACTAGGTAAGTCTTGGAAGTTCCAATTTTTTCATGTATACAGTTAAAGTTAGTTGACTGATAAAAACAGAAACATTGCTTCTACTGATCTTTAGTTTTCTACTTTTCATAATTATATGTTTTGTTTATGCATCTGGGTCATTTTTTCACTTACTACTTGGTTCTTACATTTATAGGCCAGACTCCAAACTTGTAGACGAAATTGTTAAAGATTTTTGAAGAAATTGAATGATATATACCCTCAAGTGATTGCAGAAGTCTAGTTGTTTTAGAATCATTGTTGAGCAAGTGAATCTTGTATGCACTGGATTGTCAGATTTTCGAGTTGTAGGAATTTGGGGAATGGAGGATAGGTAAAACAACCATTGCTGAAGCTATTTTCACAAGTTTCTAGACAGTTTGAGGTTGTTGCTTTATTGAAAATTTAGAGAAGAATCAAAAATGTGGTGGATTAGCTCGTTTAAGAGAGCAAGTTATTTCTAGAGTATTAGATGAAAGAAATCTCGGTATTGGCACTCCCAATATGATACCTCAATTCATTAAGCATAGGCTCCAGATGCAAGAAGGTTTTTATTATTCTCGAATGATGTCAATGATTCAGACACTTAAGTTTTTAACAAGGGCTTTCGATTTGGTCCAGGAAGTAGGTTATTATAACCACCAGAGATAAAAAGGTTCTTTGTATTTTGGAGTGGATAAGATAACATTTATGAGGTTGAAAGATTCAAGCATCATGAAGCTCTTCAACTTTTTGTAATTCTGCCTTTCAACAAAATCATCCCCCTATGATTTTTTGGAGCTCTCAAGCAAGGTGGTAGATTTGCCAAAGGCACCACTGCTCTTAAAGTATTGGCTTCCCCTCCTTACACAAAAAGAGCAAACAAGATTTGGAAAGTGCATTGAATAAATTAAAGAAGATTTCTAATCCTAAGATTCATAATATTTTGAGGATCAGTTATGATGGACTAGACCGTGAAGAGCAAGATATATTTCTTGACATTGCATGAGTTTTTAAAGGAGAGGATAGTAATCATGTAACAAGAATACTAGATGGTTGTTACTTCTCTGCCCATTATGGACTGAGTGTTCTCATTGATAAGTCACTCATAAAAATTTCAAGTAAAGACAAGCTACAAATGCATGATTTACTCCAAGAGATGGGTTGGGAAATTGTTCGCCAAGTATCCTTCAAAGAGCCAGGCAAGCATAGCAGACTGTGGAATCCTGAAGATGTCTGCAACGTTTTGAAGAAAGACACTGTAAGTAAGAGTGAAATGAATTTGGTTAACTTTGTTTTATGCATCAGATCTTAATACAAAATCAACCCAGATAAAATTTATCTTCACTTCACTATGTGTTTTATGCTAATTGTTCTTTCTTCTGCTTTGAAGGGAACTGATGCAATTGAAGGCTTGCTCCTAGATATGTCTAAAATCAGAGAAATGCATTTAAATTCTGAAGCCTTTACAAATATGCGTAATCTTAGGCTTCTGAAATTCTATTTATCTGATCAGCTTTTGGGAGACTTTGTAAATAACCCTAAATTGTGTTTCCCCCAAGGATTAGAATACCTTTCTGATGAGTTAAGATGCCTATATTGGGTTGGATTTCCATTGAAAACATTGCCACCGAGATTTAGTCCAGAGAAGCTTATTGAACCTAACCTGCCGTACAGCAACATTGAGCAACTCTGGATAGGAACTAAGGTATGTATAATTTCTTCCATATTTCTGATTTCTTTTGTTATAAGTATAATGTTGTTCATGTTTTATCCATACAGTCTTTTCTTTTTGCTACAGCCTGCCTTCAAGTTAAAATCGATTGATCTTTATCACTCTCAGAACTTGATTGAGATACCAGATGTCTCAGAGGCCGCAAATATTGAGATAATAGAGCTTGGACATTGCACAAGCTTGGTTAATGTTCCATCATCTATCCAATATCTCAATCACCTTTGTATTCTGTGACTAAGTGGCTGCAAAAGCCTTAGGAACTTTCCAAGCAACATTCATTTTAAATCGCTTGTAACTCTCAATCTCTCCTCTTGCATATACCTCACAGAATTTCCGCAGATTTCAGGGAATATAAGAGATATAGATCTTAGTAGAACCTCTATAGAAGTTCCCTCGTCCATCATGTGTCTACCTGAGCTTTGTTCATTAGTTATGACGCAACGCTTAAGGCTCAAGAGTATTTCATCTAGTATCTGTAAATTGAAATTTCTTCGACGTTCTTGAACTTGATTATTGCTCTAAACTTGAGAGTTTCCCAGAAATATTGGAGAAAATGGAAAGTTTAGAAAGTCTTTTGTTGAATGGAGCAACAGAAGTTAGGGAGCTACCATCTTCAATTGAACATCTAAATGGCCTTTGTTATTTGAGATTGAAGGATTGCAAAAATCTTGAGACCATTCCAAGCAGCATCTGTAATTTAACGTCTCTGATTGAAATGGATCTTTCTGGCTGCTCAGAACTTGTCAAATTTTCAGAGTGGAAGCGGAATATATATACTCAATGTCTGGGTTTTGTATTGCCTCCATTACCAGCTTTATGTTCCTTGACAGAATTATTTTTATCTTTCAGCAATCTAACCGAAATTCCTGAAGATCTTTGTTGTATATCCTCATTGAAAACATTAAATCTGAACGGAAACAATTTCGAGAGCCTACCTTCAAGAATAAAGCAACTGTCGAAGCTGAAACGCCTTTACTTAAGAGATTGCAATATGCTTCGATCTTTACCGGAGCTTCCACCATGTTTAAGAGTACTAATAGCAATGAACTGCAAGCGGCTACAATCATTACCCAAGCTTCCATCAAGTCTAGAAGAATTAGATGCATCTGAGTTGGAGGTAGTATCTGAACGCTATGTCCCATTTTCATGGATCACAATGCGCTTTTTATTCACAAATTGTCAGAAATTGAATCAAAATGCATACAACATCTTGGAACTTTCCCAGCTAAGAATTTATCAAATGGCTGTCACATCTTTGAGACTTTGTTATGAAAAGGTTAGTTAATTCTCTTTTTCTTTTTCTGTCTTTGAAGACTCGTCATAATACAAGAATTTCATGTTACAGGTACTCAAAGTCACACCTGCAATCAGCTTTTGTTTACCCGGAACTATAATTCCTAACTGGTTCAGCTACCGAAGTTCAGGATCTTCGATAACTATTCAGCTCCCTCAGCATTGGTGTAATACAAGGTTCATCGGGTTCGCTTTATGTGCAGTTATTAAATTTGAGGAGAGCTACTGCGATAGTGCTTTTTATGTAACTTGTGATTATCATTTTGATACCAATAGTGCTGATTACTATACTTGCCAAATGCACGTTACAACGCTTGGCTATGATTATGTGTTAATTGATCCTGATCATATCGTGTTAGGGTATGATCCCTGTTTAAATGCTAGGCTACTTGAGGGCGACTACACGACTGCCTCGTTTCACTTTTACCCTGTCGAGTACGGGGCGAAATATTGTGAGGTTAAATGTTGCGGGGTCTGTCCGCTATATACACGATTTGCGGGCACAAGTACTGAGAAGGAAAGTGGAAGATCTGGGGAGGAAATTGAACCAAATCCTAAGAGAGTTTGCAGGGAGTGAATTAGTTGTTTCTTCTGCTTAATTGCTGGAGCTAAGGATTTCTCTGTCAATTTAATGGTAAATTGCTGGAGCTAAGGACCGCCGTCAATAACGGTTGCAAGCAGTCATTGCCGAACTTCAGCTGATGGCCGTTATGCTTATGATGGTGGTCGCACGACTGGAATGAGAGTTGTGAAGGGGATCGCATACGAACGTTTTGTGGAAGACTTGCGCAGGACCGTTAACGAGGATTCAAATAAATTCCCTTTGGGAATCAAAGTCTTATTGCCTTGTATTAACATGTCTGCTCCCCCCATGACGATATGTGATTATCCTACTCTTTGCTTTTTCTTAGATAATGGTGGGCCGGCTAGTGGCTTTATTCCGTTGTGTATCACAAAGTTTCCCATTTCTTCGAAAGTTCTAAACGATCTTGCCATGAAAAACAAAAACAAACCCATCGGATGACCAAGCAATAAGAAGAGAAAAATGATATCCTTATAAAGATCCATACAAAAAGGGTTACAAAGTGATATCAGTAAGAAGAAAAAAACAAAGAAAAAACGAAAAAAGAGAGAGAGAGAGAAATTATAAAAATCAAGAGTGGAGATTATCTTTATATGCCCTTTTTATATGTGTCTTTGTAAAACTAGCATTACTCTAAGAAGAAAGCATGATCCCAGTGGCATTGTTCAATGTGGCGTGTATGGACAATTTATTCCAGTGTTATGTTATTGCATTAGTATGGAATTGTATCTACAATTTAACAAGACCGTATTAATATATGTGAGCTTTCGCATTACTGTGTTAAATCTTATTTTTACAAGTTCTAATGCTATGAATTGTTAAATTTGTTTTTACAAACAAAAAGAATATGAAAATTAACAGTTAACTTACATGTCCATTTGATGTTAAATGATTATAAATGAAAAATTAAGTTATTTTGAGTATATAATCTTATAATATAAATAACAAATTAAATTACCATGTTTAATTTAACTTTACATTAAAAGTAGTATATACTTCAAATAAAATGTTTTAAAGGGTTATTTAAATGGGCTTATGTGTAATTATTGATATTAAAATAAGGATAATAAGTTAAATCATTTCCTAATAATGTCTTTTGTAATCATTCACATTCAATCACACTACTTCAAATTTTGAATATTGAACATATAGACAAGTGATAACATAGCATTTTCTAACTACCTTTAAGTGACCAAATGATTTAAGAGGTTTTGAGTTCGAGTTTCTCCTCAATTGCTGTTAAGGGATAGTCATTTGAGCTCTTATTCGATCGATAGTTTTAGGGTCTCGAGATATTAGTTGAAGTGTACGTAAGCTAGCTCGTACACTCCTGATCATTTAAAAAAAAAAAAAAAAAAAATTTCCATCAAAATCTATTGAAATCATTCACATTCAATGTCTTGGAAAAAAAATTCGATCACACAACTTCTAATTTTGGAATAATGGGTAAGCATCCTCCATTAGTCACTATTATTCACCAAATCACACAACTTTAATGTTTTCAATCACTACATTTTGTTGCTTTAGTCGAGATTGTGACCGTCATTAGTTTTTCTGATAACATATGAAATTTTTTACAAAAATCAATACATACGTGTAATTATTAATGTCATTATTTTTCTTTGCTTTCATTAATTCGTATGTTTTAATTTCTTGATGTTCTTGTTACAAAATTTCATTTTTAATTCAACAACCAAAAGTAAAACAAATACATCTTTTATCATACAACTTTATATTGTCAACATCATATTTTTCAAAAAACATATATAATTACTTCTAATTTTTATATTGTCAACTTTATATGACATATTTATTGCATTTCTTTTTATTTAGCCTTAACTTTTACGCATCAATATCACATATAATTACAACTTTATATTGTCAACATCATTTTTTTCAAAAACCATATGTAATTACTTCTAATTTTTATATTGTCAACTTTATATGACATATTTATTGCATTTCTTTTTATTTAGCCTTAACTTTTACGCATTAAAAAATATCACATATAATTTCTTCTAATGTACCCTTTATGAAAAGGCAAAAAATAAAAATAAAAATAAAAAGATATAAAGGGATATTTTTATTTATTTTTTCACTGAAGGATATACTAATGCATAGTTAAATATTAAGTTGAAGATAGTGATTGATTTTTAAATAAGAAATTAAAACATTTGTCTTGCATTTATTTTTAGCATTTCATTTTGGACCATTCAATATTTAATATTCTTTTATTAAGGGCGCCATAGAAAGCACAACATTTTTATTTTCTATTTCTTTTTGTATTAATTTGTTTGTCTTTTTAGCCAACCACTCCACATTTTTTGTTCTTTTTTATTTTTGTTTATTATATGATCTCAATTAATCTAGAAAAAAATTTGGTATACAGTGCCGGTAGTTGAGACGATAAACTTTTCTTTTGTCATCTTCCACATTATATCTATTTTCTAACTTTATCTCTCTCGAAAAATAAAAAAAATCACATCATAAATTTTTTGTTTCAAAAATAATTTGGGTTTAACTGTATCCCTTAGCTTCCCAAAAATATTATAATCACAAATTAAAGGAAAACGATAAGGAGAAATATCATATTATATATTATATATATTATATATTATATATATATATTATATAATATATATATATAATATATATATATATAAATATATAAAGTCAAAAATAAATTTAGGCATATTTTTATTACTTTCGCAAATAAATTTACGTACCGAAAATAGTTTTACCTCCCATGTGATTGGTTGAAATATGATTTAATTAAAAATAATGTTATCCCAATAACATAAAAATCTTTCTCTAAATGTATAGTCAAATATTGTTAATAAATTATTAGTAAACCATTAAAATTTATATTGTTATAAGTTAATAAATATTATCAAATTGCTTTTTTACTATTTATTTTAAAACTTAAAGGCAAGGGATTTATGTTATTTTTTAAACTTTAAGGGGATTTATAATTATATTATATTTGAGAACGATCATTGTTATTATATTATGTTATTTTTTAAACTTTAAGGGGATTTATAATTATATTATATTTGAGAATGATCATTGTTATTATATTATATATGAAGGGGATTAATGTCATCAACTCCCATCAAAAAAAATATAGCTTTGAATGGAATGGTGTGAAGAGTGTGAATGTCTTTATTTGAATTTTTATTTTATGGGTCAAAATTTTGGTGCTCGGATGGACAGAACAAAGAGAATAACGAATTAGGAAAATTATTAATTCATCATCGTGGGTCACTATTTTGCCTCATCGCACCTTGTATAGGTCAAATCAGATCCTCTATCTCTTAAGCCTCATCGTCATTTATCTAAGGATAAGGCTCCAATGCACATAATGATGATGGAAGACCGCCAACCTTCTGCTAATCCTGACTCTTCAGAAAATCCCGTGTCTTCCAATTTTATGAGCTCTTTTTTGGGAGACATGGTAGAAAGACAACGTCTTGCCGCTTTGGGTATTTCTCAAGATTCTCTATGTACCTTTCAATCAGAATCAGAAGCCGATATACCTTCGACTGATGAATCATTTGAAAGTGGCTTTGACTCAGACAGTAATACTTCTGATCACCATCCTAATGTTTATCCCCAACTGATGACCCATCAACCTGAATCGTCAAGACCACCTATTGTTTCTGAGGTCGATGATGAGATGCCTGAAGGTGATGATTCCATTCCAGACTCTCCGCCTCTGTATTGACAATCTCGTCATACTACGGCTGAACGTGACTCTTATACAGCTTCAGCAAAGCTCCACACTTTTACCGTCGATGATCTTCCTCCACACAAATGGAGAACTCAGATGTATGAATTTCAGGCCTGGTTACAAGCTGAGATGCTGAAACCTAATGCCCAAGTCTCCACTGTACTTAAGCAGTTTACAACTAGATTTGGTGGCATTCTTCGTGATTGGTGGATAAGTCTTCAGGAGTATAGACAAAATTTGTTCATCCAAATGCCAGATATTAACCAAGCTCTGTATCTTCTGTATGATAAATTCTGTGGATTACCTCACCTTTATGAGAACCAGGTCAGAGAAGAATTTTTCAAGATGCGATGCCGTTCTTTAAAAAAGAAAGATCTTGACAGGCATTACAAAGAGATGGTAAAACGATATCATATACTTAGGGGTATGGATGATCCTAACATGAAGCAAGCCTTTTTGGCATCAATTCGTGAATCCCTAAGTCATGAAGCAACCAAGCTTATGCAGTCCCAGAACAAACAACTTGGATCCACTTCTCTTGGCAAAATTTATCAGTTTGTTATTCTTGCTCTGAAAAAGCTCTGTTCTCAAAAACAATTTTTTGACGATTATATGAAGCATTCTAAACAACTGACAAAGGTTTGTCAACGACCAGACTTACAGATCAAATGCAAATCAGATCGCTCATGTTCTTGTCCTACCAAGAAGAAGTTTCATTCTAGAAGCATCAAGTTTTCTCCACCTAATGCTCCGACTAGACGCAAATTTCGACGTTTCAAGCACCGCAAGTTCCTTCGGAAAAGGAAATGCAAAGGCAAACGGTCTAATCAGTGTTATTTGTGTAACCGCCCGGGTCATTTTGCCAAAAATTGTCCAACAAGCCCAAACAGTCAGCCAAAATGATGCAACAACTTTCTCACCGTAGAGATATCGATTTTTCTGATGATGATGTTGAAAGTTGGTT